CCCCCCCCCCAAGCAAAGATTATATACCACCAGACAGCTACCACATGGCCCCTGATGCCCTCGGAGGATGTTTGTTTACAGTGGCTGGACAAGTAATTTACCCTTGTGCATGCTGCTGACATGCTTTCAGGACTACTGATTTGTCAACTATACTGGTCTGTAATAGTTTACCTGGGTTTAGACAGAGGCTTGGGGAGGCTCTAGTGTAAATAGACAAGTCGGAGAATAACAAGGCCTTAATGATTACCATACATCGGTCAGATTTGACTTCTACTTTCTCAGATCTTAATACAACAAGGCAGAGAACTGCCAAGATTTCCTATTAACACACAATGGACATTATGTCCATCACATATTATTTGTAATATAGAATGTCCATCACATGCTTTGTGTTACTTTGCTGGTTTCTTCATCATGTCTGCAGATGGTTGTGAAATGAAAGGACCAATATTCAGTCATTATCACAAACCACTAAAAACACAAGTAGAAGAAATCACTTAGTAATAAAAGTATTGTTCAGGAACAATTTCCTATATGTAATAACGTCAATGACAGGGGGGAGTGATGTGAAAAGGTAATGTCTATATCTACAAAATTTCAAAATTGTCAGCTTCTGATAAAATTGTCTCAAGTGACCAATGATGTACATGTATTCAGAAAACCTTATTAACCTACAGCATCGATATCTTACAAAGTGTTCTGATAGGACCAAGAGAAATCAATGCATATTTGCTGAGCGTCTCTTCTGCCAATTCAAATTGGTATACATGTATATATATCTTGTTGCATATGTTGACAATCACAGTGAGTACTAATTATAAAACTTCCTAATTTTGAGGCATTTATTAATAATCAAATTGTTCTAAAGTTGATTAGTCAATAGAGGATGGAGAGCAACAAAATTAAGCTAATGAAACTGAATAGGACATGTGTATACCCCCAACCCCCTTCTACTGAAACAATGTACATGTATGTACCCCCGACGTCTACCCTACCGCCTTCTCCTAATGAACTGATTTACTTCTACTGAGACAATGTACATGTATGTCCCCCCGAAGTCTACCCTTCCGCCTTCTCCTAATGCACTCATTTACTTCTACTGAGACAATGTAAATGTATGTACCCCCGACGTCTACCCTACCGCCTTCTCCTAATGCACTTATTTATTTCTACTGAGACAATGTACATGTATGTACCCCCAACGTCTACCCTACCGCCTTCTCCTAATGAACTGATTTACTTCTACTAAGACAATGTACATGTATGTACCCCCGACGTCTACCCTACCCCTTCTCCTAATGCACTTATTTATTTCTACTGAGACAATGTACATGTATGTACCCCCAACGTCTACCGTACCGCCTTCTCCTAATGAACTGATTTACTTCTACTGAGACAATGTACATGTATGTCCCCCCCGACGTCTACCCTACCGCCTTCTCCTAATGCACTCATTTACTTCTACTGAGACAATGTACATGTATGTCCCCCCCGACGTCTACCCTACCGCCTTCTCCTAATGCACTCATTTACTTCTACTGAGAAAAATGTACATGTATGTACCCCCGACGTCTACCCTACCGCCTTCCCCTAATGCACTCATTTACTTCTACTGAGACAATGTACATGTATGTCCCCCCGACGTCTACCCTACCGCCTTCTCCTAATGCACTCATTTACTTCTACTGAGTCAATGTACATGTATGTACCCCCGACGTCTACCCTACTGCCTTCTCCTAATGAACTGATTTACTTCCACTGAGACAATGTACATGTATGTACCCCTCGACATCTACCCTACCGCCTTCTCCTAATGAACTGATTTACTTCTACTGAGACAATGTACATGTATGTACCCCCAACGTCTACCCTACCGCCTTCTCCTAATGAACTGATTTACTTCTACTGAGACAATGTACATGTATGTCCCCCCCGACGTCTACCCTACCGCCTTCTCCTAATGAACTGATTTACTTCTACTGAGACAATGTACATGTATGTACCCCCGACGTCTATCCTACCGCCTTCTCCTAATGAACAGATTTACTGAGATACTGTATATAGCTAGCCCTGATAAAATTCCCTCTTTTAATCGAAGTTTAACTGGTATCCACATCCTTCTGTAAGAAGCATAAAGAATCCTCCCACCGCCCTCTAATGAAACATATTATCATTCACGGACATTAAAACTCGGCACAATAGCAATGATTCTTCAGTAATTTTACCTGCTGTTTCCGTTCTTGTCTGCATGACGGAACACAATTAAGATTTAACATCAGTACAGACCTCCATGTTTTTTTTCAAATACATTACATGTTCTAAGGTACATGTAAAATTTGGATGAATGCATAACACTGCACGGGGTCATGTGTTTTTTGAGTCAGAGATCTGTTCTTGGAATGTTGGGCCAGCATACATGTACATGGTAAAGCTTGAATCATCTGGTACAGTAAAATCACTGAACCTGTCTGAACCAAACACTAAGTACACTATGTTCATTATAACAAAAATATGGATCTGACTGCAATTTCAATTTGCTGGAAATTAAATGTATACAATGTCAACCTTATGTTTCTGCACACTTTTCCGTTCCAAAAGATTTTATCTGGATGAAAACTCTAAAGATTTCCACTCTCCATATAATGCAATATATATATACAAATTCCCAGATTTAGAATCCCTGTCCCACTGTAATGTGTTTTTCCTATATATAGCCACCTCCCTTTCACTTCCACCTAGATAAAACTGTAGCAGTTTGGTTGATTGTATGTAGGGTTTAACGTTCTATTGACAGTTAAGGTAATTTAAGGACATGCTCCCATGTGTGTTGTGTATGTGTGCATGCATGCTGGAGGGTGGGTATGTTGGTATATTTGCCTTCTTGTGATAGCACGGATCTGATGCCGACTTAATAGTAATATATATCTCACTGAAATACAATACCAAGGGCACCCATGGCCAGCACAGCATTCCGCCCAGCCACGTTATACTGACAACGGGTGATCATAAACCAGTTAACGTTGTTGTGAATACCCCAAGTGCTGAACCCTAATGAAGCAGTAAATTTTTAACAACTATATGTACCATTTTTAAAGACTTAATTTGGCCAGGACCCTGCTGTTGTGTAGTCTAGATCTTAGCACAGTTGGTTAGACTGACAGCATAATAATCTTGAGTCAAGGTTCGCATTCCGGACTAGCCCTGCTCAATTTTAACACTCAGAACACTGTTGTTGAGTTTTGTTGATTTCATTTTATTATTTCTCTCTCATAATTATATAAGGTATGAGGGGTTTTTCCAGAAATGATTAATCAATGCTATAGTCAAGCCGTAATATTAACATGGCAATCAATGCGACTAGTCTTTGTATACAATTAAACACACACATGTATGTTATCTTCAGGACTCATTGTTTTCATGATGAAATCTGGCAGTGGTGTAAAATAAATCTGTATAATCTACGATGTCTGTCTCGGCAATGATAATTGCATTGGTTTAGCTTAATTACTATTTTGTACTCTCAGACTACTGTCTGGCTGCAAGTACATAAGAACCTTTTGTTGTTTACCTCTGTAAGTTTATGTCACCGACCTCAAAGGTTGACTGAATAGTTGGATGAAAAGAATTCACAGCATCAGAAAATGTCATCTTCATGTATCTCAATTCTAACAAAAAGAACTAGTACATGTCAGCTTTGTGGTGCCATCTTGGTTCCCATTGTTAAAAGCCTTCAATATTACTTTCTCTTCAGTTTTGGTTCCTCAGTTTTAATTCAATTTAACCAACAATTCTGAAATAATTGATTCAACTCCAAACCAATCTGGAATGTTTCCAATGCACTGCTAAATTTTGATCTGTGTGATTATATACAAGCAGACAAACTATTTCAAAAGGTTTTTCTGACAGTAGACGTTTCAAGAGTGTTTATCTTGTTTCTTAGAGGTATATGGTACCAATATATTTAAATGTATTTATAAAATCTTAAGTGTGAAAGTGTAATTTACTAAAATATGCTTTCACACTTCTTATTAAAATATACCATATTTGTCCACTGCCATTATGGTATATCAAGGGCTGAGTGGGAGAACCAAGAATATACCTATAAATCAACTAGACTTGTCCAGGTTCGTAATTTGGCATAGGGAGAACAATCAACTATATATATACTATACATGACAAATCACCTCTAATATAAGGATCCCTATCCTACTGCACTCTGTTTTCTTATATACAGTAACCTCCCCTTGACACGTTCACCCCTACGCAACTTTAGTAGACTCTCCCATACATGCATTTATTTGGATGAGTCCATTATGGTCTACAGTGGTGAAAGGGTTAACATTGTTCTGGATATACCTTTGCTGCACACAGCACATTCAGACCAGGACTTTTCCGTTGACAAGGTATCTTAGTCGGTCAGAGCAGCCGTTTAGCAACCTGAAGTCTTGGGTTCGAATCTTGGTCTAGCCCCGCTGAATTTTCACAATCAGAATACTGTTTCATCCATGTTTTCAGACATACATGCATGTGAATAAGTTAATTTATGTCCAAAGAATACAATGATGTATCCAACATTGTAGGCATATATATGTGGTGTCTAATGGGAGATATATGAATTCAGAATTTTCTTAACAACCTGATGATAGGTCACTGGATATTCAAATTTTCAATAGGACGACGACATCAAATATCTAAAACATTAATTGATCGTGATTGCATGGATAATGAGCTACAGTCCCAACAGTCACTACGGTCAGAAATTTATTTGAAAATCTTTCCAAGCTTACTATGCTTGCAAAAGAACGAGCTTCATTTCCAGATTTATTCCGACATTTGTAGAGTATCTGTTGTGTAGGAAGTGTTGTTACTGCAAAAGTTACAAGCGCTAAACATACTTGCTTTAATGATTTAATCTGATGAATCGTGACAGTCATCCTCATCTAGTCAACAACAAACTTGTTAAGGCAAACACAGAGTGTGTACTGTTTCTCTCGTAATCTAATGGCGTGGTATCAGATACATTTTGCGTAATTTGGGCCACGGAAAAAATCCTAATCCTGATATTTATACATATATATTTACTAGCTTGTAATTTTGGTCAAATTTTGGTTCAAAGTATCATAAGCAGATTGAAAGGACCAAAAGATCTCATTCAACTTGATCTATTTATATATATGTAGGTCAACTTGTCACTTGTCCGTTTTAAATTCTGCATCATTACAGAATAATGTTTTGCTACAATCATACACAACATTACTAATCATACACAACATTACATCAATGGTAATGGATCAGTGACAGTCCAATAAACATAAACACATTTCAATACTGCTTGGAAGGGACCAACTTGGAGGGTTATATACTTTCCCAACACTTGGTCAAATATTTTCTTTATTTCATTTTAATGATACTGACAATGTGATTTTGCCATTCAATATATTTGAGCCTGATGGATGCAAGCTCCAGGTCTGACACTCAAGTATTTTTTGTAAAACTTCTTCTGTTTGATTTTCAAAACATTCTCCATATTCAAGAGTTCCATAAGTAATATTTATCAGTTCATTTAGCAAGAGATATAGTAGTTGATCAACAAAAATGTGGACAAACCTAGAAAAAAGTCTAGGACTGAATGAAATATGTGTCTGCAAATTCAGGTATTGTCTGCGGGAAGTATTTTTTGTGACATGGGTAAAATAACGGTTCCGGGTTGTTTCGCCCCAAATCCTGTTCGCCCTATGGGTTGATTCGCGCTAGGTTGTTTCGCCCTAAAACAAAAATATTAGGGCGAAACATTGTTTGGTATTTTCTTTCAATTCCGGTAGTTTTAAGTCACAAATTAAGACTTCTTAGTATTCTATATAATTCATAAACAAAATGTGTTTGTCTTGTTTTTAAGCAAGTGTGACAAACGGCAGATCTGTGAAAAGCTGACTCCGCTCTCACATACATACTCTACTTGAAATATACCAAACACCATTGTAGAAAGTCATCAATAAGTTTAGTTAATATATTTAAATATTAATTATTATATTAGCGTATCATTTTTTTTAGAGCGAAACAACCTAGGGCGAACAGGATTTAAGCCGAAACAACCCTTTACCTAAAATAACTGTACACAAATAAACACTGAAAAACAATAAACAATCCCTGTACAAATTCCTTTAAATAATTTCTTTCCAACGCTATTAATTAAGGCATCAAAATGTATTGTGCCCATTTTTTTTTTCATTTTTTTTTACTTTTTTATAATGATAAGGTAAAAATTGTCGACAAGCTGTACACTAAAACAGTTAATTTACATCTGCGGTACATAGAGGAAGCTGACCCACCATCAGTGCTAGTGAAGGAACAGAGCTATAGCGGGNTTCCAGATAGGTTCTACAAACGCAAATTGCTGATTGGCTGATTTAGTTGTGCGAGTCCTTAATAATCAATCAAAAGCTTACAATTCTCTATGTAATCAGGGGCGGATACAGGCATTTATTTACGGTGTTAATACCCAAACTTAAACAATAAAACTGAACTCAGCCACATTTTTCGCGCTTAGGATTTTATATATATATATAATGTTTATATATAGAGGAGACCAGGGCAGGTTCGGTCCCGGGGTAATTCGACCGGTGCAAGCTTCGCCCAGGCAACAAATGAAAAGTCGTGAAGTTGCCGGGATATATCATATAGGCCTACATACATAAGTACACGAATTACTAAATTGTTTTTAATAACCTATTCAACCAACCACGGACTTAGATCATCTAATCTAATTCCGTGATTCAATTACACTCAAATTCAAGTAAGCATGTTTCTGTTATAATTGCTTGCTTTATGAAATAGTAACCATATATTTGATATTTTATCCCATATTCTATTATCGAAACAATCGATACATTGATCATCACAATATTTTGATCGAAATCCATTATACTGAATTCATTGGTGACTTATCAGCACCAAAAGCATCCCAAACAATTTCATCGATGTAGGAGAATCTAAAGAGACGTGTCAGCCGCAAGTTCAGTGATGCAAAATTATATGCGCATGCCATACGCATGTGCATTCTGCACAAACATTGGGGAAATATGCATTAAATTGTGCAGTATAAACTGAATAGTTGAATATGAGGTATGCTGAACATTGTACCTCAATTACTAGCAAAAGGTAAAAGGTTAGGAAATGTTATGATACTTGGAAAAAAACACCATATTATTATCACAATAATGACCCTTAATGATCACTTGAAACCACAGGTGAAAATACAGGTTATG